TCTGAAGCGTCGGCAAATCTATAAGCTTCAGGCGATCCTTGTAGGGTGGGAGATTTTTAGACGAGTCCCAACATAAATTTTTGAGGGCAAATAACAGGAACTGTTTCTGCACTGATTCGAGCCTGTCACTATGAATTTGATAGCTAGGATTCCATACTATAGATGCATACTCCAAAATCGGTCTAACTAGAGAGGTAAAGAGAACTTTAGTGACATAAGGATCGTTGAACTCCTTGGCCCAGCGCTTAAGAAAAGCCAACAATCCTCTAGCCCTAATCACGCAGGAGTTTATGTGAGACTTGAATTCTAGTTTCGGATCCATAGTTACACCTAGGTCAATGAAATTGGTCACTTGCTCAACATTGTGGTCAGATATCATATACGAATTTGGATAGAACGATTTTCTAGAGAAGGTCATGAATTTACACTTTTTCAAATTTAGTGACATGGAATTTGCTTCACACCATTCGAAAATGCAGGTTAGGTCAGCTTGCAAATGCTCCCTATCTTCTGCAGTACTAATGTACTTAAAGAGCTTAACATCATCAGCGTACATTAAGCATTTCGAGTAATTCAACACCTTAGGAAGGTCATTTATAAATAAAATAAACAAGACGGGACCAATATGGCTGCCCTGAGGTACGCCGGATGTGACATGTATTGGCCGGGAGGTACAATTTTTAAAAATTACTCTTTGTTTCCTATCCACTAAGTAAGAAGAAAGCCAGCTGAGAAGAATAGGAGGGAAGCCAATTCGATCAAGTTTATATATAAGGGTTGAATGAGATACCTTGTCAAATGCCTTGCTGAAATCAGTGTAAATCACGTCCGTTCGAAGATTGTTTTTAAACCCATTAGACACATAAGTAGTGAATTCAAGAAGATTGGATACAGTTGATTTACCTTTGCAAAAACCGTGTTGCGATAGATCAATAGCAGAAGTAATAGAGTGAGATAGTTCTTCCGTAACGATTGCCTCAAAAACTTTAGCAATAGCACAAAGCTTCGCAATTCCTCTATAGTTTACGATGTTAGTCCTACTTCCATTTTTATAAAGTGGCAAGATAAACGAATCCTTCCAGGAAGATGGGAAGACACCCTGTTTTAGGGAAGCATTAAAAATATTTGCCAGAGGCTTATACAAATACTCTGCACAACTTTTAAGAACACTTGTGGGTATACCGTCTGGGCCAGCTGTATATGAAATTTTCAAACAATTCAAATGAATGAGGACGTCCGCAGCAGATATCGATGGAATTCGGATACAATCAAATGATGGCAGATCGAATGGGTAGCTAGATAGATTCGAATTCAGTTGGGAAGATGTAGAACTGGCAGAGTAGTTTGACTCGAAGAAACCAGCAAACATATCGGCAATAATATTTTCGTCACTGGAAACTAAGTCATTTAACTTCAATGTTGAGGGATAACCGTTAGTCTTACGCTTTGTGTTCACAAATGCGTAAAACGATTTGGGATTAGAAACTATATTGAGTCGAACCCTGTTAATATAATTATTGTAACACTTTTTGTTCAATACATTGTATTTATGCCTAAGAATGGAGTACGCGGAGTAGTGAGAAGACAAGCCAGATTTTTTAAAAAGCTTAAATGCTTTGGATTTTTGATTTTTTAAGCGTTTCAATTCGCCAGTAAACCACTGAGCGTTAGACGTTACGTTAGCTTCCTTAACAAGAGGAATGATTTTACTGAAAATGTGGCGTAAGGAATTGCTAAAATGTAAGGCACTATCTTCAGCATTCCCATCATACTGGGGCCAAGTTATCTTCGATATCTCTAACCTAAGTTTATTATAATCTGCTGTTTTAAATGAGTAACGCTCCGCTCTTGATTTTTTACTGATAAAGCAACATGAGTTGCGTGAATTTATCAAGGACAATTCTAGTGGTGGGTGGTGAGAATCAACAGGGGTAATCAAAGCATAGCTAGGGGCTATTGTGACGTTGGAAACATCGTCCACAAAAACTAAATCCAGACATTTACCTAAGTTATTACTAACAGAGTTGATCTGGTAAAGACTAAGATCTGACAGATCGTTCAAAAATTGATTGAAGAGATCACGAGAGGAATTTGGTACTAGAATACCATCTATTAGATCCCAAGAAACACCCGCAAGATTGAAGTCACCCAGGACAATAACAGTATCGGAGGGCTTCACCATGGCATGTAGAGAGAGCAGTAAGGAGGAGTGTTTTAAATAAACAGAAAGGCTCGAGTTAGGTGGTATATAAGCAGCAACAAGATAAACGCTAATAGAATGATATCTTATTCGAACGCAGAGGAATTCAACTTCATCGGTGTCAGTGAACTCAATTTCTTCAGAAGAAAGGTCAGTCTGGACAGCGATTAAGACGCCTCCACCTTTTTTATTTAAACGGTCGTTTCGAAACACTTCATACTTAGGACACAAAATTTCCGAGTTGAACACATTCGGCTTGAGCCAGGTTTCAGTAAACACCAGTACTTTGAAGTCAAAATCATAGGACTGCAAGTGTAACCTTGATAGCTTTGTGTTCAAACCTCTCACATTTTGGTAGTAAATGCTAATGGTGAGGTTACTTATTAGTTTTTTGATGCCGAGGTGGAAAGCGGAAGTTGAGCCAAATTTTGCCCTTGCGGTCTAGATCTAAATTCAAATTCGCGAATGAAGGCACCGCTTGGCCAAAAAGATGGGCTCATTACTCTATCAAAGCAGTCTTCGGATATGTCTATTTTAAAAGAAGAAATGCTTCTTTCATACGAGAATCTGAACTTGCGTACATGCAACTCATTTGCTATCAGCCTGGAAGTTAAATACCCCTTCACATCATCGACAGTGGTATCTTTTGAAAACCTAGATATAAAGACCGATTTTTTGGAAGGGACAACGATTAAATCCCTCGGGACGGGGTTAACGCAATCGGAAACGGTTTCAGATGTGGTAGGGGGTTGCGGAACAGGGGGTTGCGGAACAGCTGTCAACTTTTTGGAAGGAGCAACGATGGCTTCGGATGTGGTAGGGGGTTGAGATGTAGTTGTGGAGTTTTTGGAAGGAGCAACGACTACTTGCATTGGAACGGTGTTGACGCAATCGGAGATGGCTTCAGATGTGGTGGAGGGTTGAGATGAAGCTGTTGAACAGGAATTTAGTGAGGCTCCAGTAGAAGAAGGACGTGGTTGGGGAGATTCAGTCCGCCGAGGAATCGGTGTGTTAAAGCTTATGATACCAGTAAATCCATTTATGTAAATTGTAACTATCAATATCTTATAAGGGGAAGTGTAACATTTTTTTAATCTAAAACTAATAAAGTTAGAAGGACGAAATTCGAGGATGTCCTTGGCATATATTTTTTTCAAAAATAGATATTGGAAATTTCTAAGGATATTCAAAGATAAAGTTTTAAAAAAACATTTCCAACACTTATTCCTCCTAGTGCACAAAACAATAATAATTTTTTTTCAATGCTACAAAATTTTTCCTTTTAATTGATACCCACATTGTTACTCTACAATGCATCAAATCAAATCTTTTCAATAATTTTTTTATTCAATCATATTATGGAAATTTCAAAGTCCTTAAAAAATCCTGACTTCAGAGAGAAAAATTAAAAACGCGGTTATACTATATTTGGCCCTTCGTTTTGTTAATACATTGATTTCTTCGTGTGTTTTAAAATTTTGTGGTTGTTGTCGCACGGTGTTATACCTACTCCAATAAAAATATTTGTCCCGCTCAGGTTATTCAATAATCTACATGAAAAAAGTTTAAACAGAGAAACAATTAAAAAAGGCGCAACTGTTTGTGAATGACTACCTTAACTGTTACTGTTTTATTTAATTTTTATCAGTATAAGCGTGACTTTCTATTATAATACTGTCCCTCCGAGTTTTACAGAATGTCACCTTTTTAATTTTGTCGTGATATTAACATTAGTTGTTTTGCTTGCCTAAATGTATTGCAGTTAAAAAGCGCAAAAAGTTACTGATCGAATGACGAAAGAAATAACATAATAAAATAAATTATTTTGTGTTTTTAAGTGAATTTATCATTGCACCATGGTAAGTACGGTTAAATATTTCCGGAATGTCACCCATTATTTTATGCAAAAAACACTAAAAATAAAATATGTACCAATGTCTGTTTATTGCATAAGGAGTTTCGATGATTTTCCTGTTTTTATATTTTCGTGAAATATTTAATGGCGGTTTCGTTTCTCCAAATAATGTTGCCTTTCATTGCCCGGTTCTTAGTATTTGTAAGTAGAGGGCAATGAGAGTGTAATATTTTTCGGTAGAAACGAAACCGCGATAAGTCTCTTAAAAAAAATCTTTTATTTCTTTCTTTTCTTCTTCTTTCTTTTATTTTATTAGCATATTTCTTCAAAAGTGTGCAAATGGCATACATGGGAAATATTTGCCGAAGAAAGATTAAACAAAGAGCCTGCCTCTCAAGAAAAAACCTCACGTTAACGTTATGAAAAAGGGGGAAAAACTTTAACATTAGCTTATCTGATAAATGTGGTTCAAAGTGATATGCAAATGATTAAAATCTACTTAAAAAACTTGTCTATTACTTAGCATATTTTTTATAAAAAGTGAGATTCTGGAAAATATTTTACATAAATGCAAAAATAAGAAAAAAATTATTTTTGAACAGCCTAAAAGCAGTTTCGTATTCTGCACAAATTTTCACGTCAGTAAACGATTTCAGAGGATACATTTATCAATCTTTAAAAACATATAAAAAATACCTGCCCTGTAAACTTTGTTTGGAAACTACCCATATACAAATGTTAAAAAGCTAATTTTTTTCCGACTGACTTTTTGAATTGAAATTTCGAAAGTAGCTATTATTTTCGAATCCCATTATTAATCTTAAAAGTAACGGATTTTTAATTAAAAAAGCCTTCTCTAATATTTAATGCATGTCGACTACACGCTTACTTTTATGTGCTATATTACATACTAATTCACTTTTTCACCCACTGTAAGTAAATTACCTGCTGAAGAGCTTTAACGAATGCCTGTTTTAGTCGATTTGTATGCTCCGCCTTTAATGCCTTCTTAACATTAGTGGTTACACACTGTTCGCAAATTACTTTAGGATCTTTATTTCCTTTAATGAAAAAATATATTATTTAAATACAAAACCGTCAAACTATTGTCTCTTACCCTGCTTGTCCCATTTCCAAACTGGAGTGAAATCGATTTTGCACTGAGCGCATTGGAACGGTGGCACCACTGCCATTGACTTTTTATTATTGGTTGTTAAATAGTCCACAACTGTCTCCAAACCCAATAAATACACAAATTCAGTATTACTGGGATTGGGAATAAAATGCATTTCTGGTGGAGGCGGTTTTGGAGGCGGTATCTAAAAAAGAAGACAATTTTTCAGTTTAGTTTAAAATATATATAGAGCCCTAAACAGTGATGGAAAAGTAGACACATAGTGCCATTTTTAGCACTTTCATTCTCAGATGCACTTTTGGCACAATTCGTCCTGTTTTGGCACAATCATAAAATATAGAAATTAAGCATAAAATGCCAATATATAACAAAAAATCACATACCACATTATAGATGAAAAAATTTACACAAAGGGAAAATTAAAGGCATAAATAATTAATATAAGGGCTGTGAGAAATATTTACAAACCGCTGAATTCTATTGTGAATACGCAGTACGTAAAGGAAGTCTTCGCAACAACAAGCTTTAATTCAGAATTTTTAGAAAGATTCTAAGTTTGCAGTTTCATACTCCATTAAATAAAAGTGCAAGTTTCTGCAATATCCCGATAATTTTTGATATTTTTTTTCTTTTTTTTTTTTGTTTGTATAATATGTATTTATTTACTGAATCTTTCTTTCGAAACTAACAATATGTTTTCAAATCTTACAAACTACTATTAAATTTAAAATTTCTGCGCCAATGCTTAGAAAGTTTTTATTTTTTCATACACATATATTCATTACAGCTGTTGCGGCTGTCGGAATAGACAAGCTTCCGGAGCAGCAGGATGGCTGGATATCGCGCTGGGCAGGCGGTCTGAAACGACGAGTTCCAGAGCCACACTGCCTGGGCGGGTGCAAGGGACTAGTCTCCACGCCGCGCCTTCGCTTCTCTATATTTAAGTACACTGGTGTTGGGTAGTCGGTCTGTAAGGCCGAGTTCCAGAGCCGAAATTGATATATTGCGGATATTGCAATTTATTAAATTGCGCATCATTTGATAATACCTTCATGCATATTTCGGGCTAAGGAGATCTCTCGCTAGTCGATTTGGATGGTTCATTAACCGTGCTGAGTAACTGGTGCTTAGCCCTCTTTACATTAAGATCTTTGTGGATATTCGTATTTTTTATGTACCATGGTGCTCCGCATATGGCGCGTAAAATTTTTGACTGCAGTCTTTGAAGGTTGTTCAAAATGGAATTGCACACCGTGCCCAAAGCCCGATTCCATACGCCTAACATGGTTTAATCATCATATTAAAAAGCAACATCTTGTTATCTAGGCTTAATTTAGATTTGTGTCCTATAACCCATTGAAGGCTTACTTGTTTTAGTTTCGCTTGAGAAATTTTGTTTTCTATATGCTTTTTCCAGGTAAGTCTATTATCTAATGCCATCCCAAGGTACTTCTTCCTCTTCTTTTTTGGCGCTGTAACCGCCTAAAAAAATACACAAAGGAGGACGGCCCTCCAAAAAACCGACAGGGGTGGCTCCAGTAAATGCTACAGCCTCGAGCAGGGCATTTATCGGACCGCCAGTGACAGGAGTTAGAGGCGGCTTAACCGGTAGGGCTGGTTCTGGTACGAGTACCATAGGAGGCAGGGGGGGAGTAGAGGCTTGGGGAAACCGGTCTCCAACCGATTCATGGCTGGAGCTGCAGCGTCAGCTCCGCCTAGGGAAGTCAGACCCCAAAGCACACACACCTTAACCCAAGGGCGGGGTGCGGCACCTGCTTCAAAAATAACCCGGCAGGATGCAGCTCGAGGAAAGCTACAAACACAGGCCTGGGGGGTCGGCTAAACATGTCCGCCCCTCGAAGCAGGCATATTATGACAAAAAGGCGGCCATGAGGGTCGTGAACAGGATCGGGGACCTGCCGACAGAGCAGCTCACGGAGGAGCAGGTTAGGTCACTGGAGTGGGCGAGGGGAGTAGTAGCCAGCTTGGGAAAACCGGCAGGCACTGCTCCAAAAAGGCAGCGGTCTGCGGAACAGGCAGGGGGTGGGGTCGCCAAAAGACCGAAAACAGGCGGCCATAAGTTCTCCACCTTCAGAGACGTAGTGAAGGGAGGCGGTGAGGTACTGGCCATCATCGACAGAGGGGAGGAGGAAGGGACTATCCCTAAAGAGAAGTGGAGGTTGGTGGAGGAAGCGATCGCCGAAATCTACCTCCAAGTCCTAGAGGAAAATCCTGGACCTCCTCCTCTCTGCCATGATTCCGGATGGTATCAGGGTAGAGCTATATTCATCGCTTGCGAGGACCATAGGTCAGCCCAGCTCTATAGGTTGGCCGTTAAGGTAGGTGAAGTTTGGCCGGGAGCCGAGCTCGAGGTCGTCAGCAAGGAAGATATTCCTAGCAGACCGAGGGCTCGAGTTTGGATTCCGGCTAAACCCGCCGAGCCTGAAAGAATTGAGCGGATCTTCAGATCCTGTAATAAGGACCTGCCAACTCACAATTGGAGGGTAGGGAAGATAGAGGAGCCAGTAGAGAATAAAGGCAGGTGTTGCTGATCCTTAACGCCGAATCGATAGCCCCACTGGCGCAAAAGGATTGGGTGGTGAGATTCCGGTTTAATGACGCAACTATTCGAATCTACCGCAGCGACGAGCCGAGCTTGGACCTTAGTGAGGAGAGCGACAAGTCCGGCCTGCGCAGCGGTGGTGAAGAAGGGTTGCCCAGCAGCCAATGCTCATCCGACTCGGAGAGGCTATCCGGTTTGGGGCCATTATTTTACGAAGAAGACCTCCTCACCGATGACACCGAGGGAGAGGATATCGAAGAGGCGGACGTGGATGTCACGATGGTGGAGGTAAAACGAACAGATTCTGATGAAGCTGATCCGGATCAACCGCCACCACTCTAAACTCGCGTCTGCGAACCTTGAGGTCCGCCTGGCTGCCGGTGGACTCGACGTTGCCCTCATCCAGGAACCGTGGATACACGGCAATAAAATCTGCGGGCTTGGGATGAAGGGCTTTAAGCTTATTGCCGCACAAAATGCAGGTAAGACTACAGCTTGCATATTAGCAAGGAACAACTTAAACATCTTCCTGCTTCCACAGCTTAGTGACGGCGATCTGGTAGCGGCAAGCATTGAGCTGGACAAAGCCAGCTTTTGGGTAGCCTCTGCGTACATGACCCATGACAAGGACGTGCCACCAGATGGGTTTCGGTCCTTGGCCGAGGAAGCAGCGTTCAAGAATAAACCACTGGTTGTCTCCTGCGACGCTAATGCCCAAAACTTGATGTGGGGGAGTACGGACACGAATGCTAGAGGTGAGTCGTTACTAGACTTCATTCTAGGGAACAAACTTAGTGTTTTGAATTTAGGCTCTGAGCCGACCTTTATAACAAAGAGTAGAGATGTTTGCCCATAAAATCAAGAGATGGAGAGTACTGAATGAAAAATCTTATTCTGACCATCGTTATATTGAATTCGAAATAGATCTTAAGACCCTCCAAGTAAGGGAGTTCAGAAATGTTAGAAATGNACGCCGAATCGATAGCCCCACTGGCGCAAAAGGATTGGGTGGTGAGATTCCGGTTTAATGACGCAACTATTCGAATCTACCGCAGCGACAAGCCGAGCTTGGACCTTAGTGAGGAGAGCGACAAGTCCGGCCTGCGCAGCGGTGGTGAAGAAGGGTTGCCCAGCAGCCAATGCTCATCCGACTCGGAGAGGCTATCCGGTTTGGGGCCATTATTTTACGAAGAAGACCTCCTCACCGATGACACCGAGGGAGAGGATATCGAAGAGGCGGACGTGGATGTCACGATGGTGGAGGTAAAACGAACAGATTCTGATGAAGCTGATCCGGATCAACCGCCACCACTCTAAACTCGCGTCTGCGAACCTTGAGGTCCGCCTGGCTGCCGGTGGACTCGACGTTGCCCTCATCCAGGAACCGTGGATACACGGCAATAAAATCTGCGGGCTTGGGATGAAGGGCTTTAAGCTTATTGCCGCACAAAATGCAGGTAAGACTACAGCTTGCATATTAGCAAGGAACAACTTAAACATCTTCCTGCTTCCACAGCTTAGTGACGGCGATCTGGTAGCGGCAAGCATTGAGCTGGACAAAGCCAGCTTTTGGGTAGCCTCTGCGTACATGACCCATGACAAGGACGTGCCACCAGATGGGTTTCGGTCCTTGGCCGAGGAAGCAGCGTTCAAGAATAAACCACTGGTTGTCTCCTGCGACGCTAATGCCCAAAACTTGATGTGGGGGAGTACGGACACGAATGCTAGAGGTGAGTCGTTACTAGACTTCATTCTAGGGAACAAACTTAGTGTTTTGAATTTAGGCTCTGAGCCGACCTTTATAACAAAGAGTAGAGATGTTTGCCCATAAAATCAAGAGATGGAGAGTACTGAATGAAAAATCTTATTCTGACCATCGTTATATTGAATTCGAAATAGATCTTAAGACCCTCCAAGTAAGGGAGTTCAGAAATGTTAGAAATGCCGACTGGGGGGTTTACAACAATAAATTAAGGCCTTTACTGCCAAAGATACCTCCCCGAGACCCCGCCACGCAAGTGGAGCTGGATGGGTTGGTTAATCAGGTTACTAAAGCCATGAATAGTTCTTTGTTAACCGGATGTCCGGTTGTTCGATACAGGGGAAAAAACAAACCACCTTGGTGGTCGAAACAATTATCCTTGTTACGTGAATCCAATAGGACAATGTTCAATAAGGCCAAAGCCACGAGAGCAACAGAGGACTGGGAAGCCTACAAGGCTGATCTGAAAATATACAAAAAAGCAGTGAGAACTGCGAAGCGTGAATCCTGGCAAAGTTACTGCAAGGGTATTGAGGAAACCACGGAAGCGGCCAGATTAAGAAGAATTCTCGCAAAGTCGCCATGGACTACGATGAGTGAGGAATCTTTAGGTCTCCTCCTGGACACACACTTCCCTGGAAACAAGCCGGTGGAACCTAGTGACCCCACGAATGAAGGGGGGCTATCTGATCTGGGAAACCGACTGATTACTAACGAAAAAATCGAATGGGCTTTTAAGACGTTTGGTCCTTACAAGTCACCGGGACTTGATGGAATACAACCGGTAGAGCTGCAGCAATCACGGGGTATTATCTCTCCGTTCATTGTGGTTATTATAAGAAGCTGTCTTAACATGGGC